CTCACACACGCTCACACACGCTCACACACGCTCACACACGCTCACACACGCACAAACAAATGTGAGCTCAGAGCAATGTGTATTGTCTTTTCCACAGGGCCGGCTGCTGGCTAGATGATGAATGTGCTGCTCCACTGTGTGTCCTCCCTTTGTTAATAGAGTGATAGAGCCACAGTGGCACCCTGCGCTTGCCACCCCTCCTCTCAGCTACACCCAGGAAGTGGTCATAAATAGGCACATAAAGCCACAAAGCCCTTGGCATCTGAACAGGGTCAAAGACGCTTTGTAATTTTTACCTCATTACAAGAGTGGAACCATTTCCATACTGCACTGCCCTTGGGATGAAGTCCTCTGCCTTTATGGGAGACCCACTAAAAAGAAACACAACAGAATTAGGAGTTATAGCGATCCTGCCTATTGTTTTATGAGATAGTTATAATTCTGAAAACTTCCCTTTTGAGCCCTCAGAGGAATAAAACATCTTCAATGAAAATGATTACACTTCATGCCTCGAGACAGAGATTGTATCATCAGCGCCACCCTCCTCTTCCTACTCCATTGGTCAAGTTCACACCCAAACACCTGTCACTCATTTTGACGAGCTGTCAGCTTTGTACAGCACCTAGCCTCGGGCTGAGGCGTCCGGCGTCGGTGAAGCTCACAACAGATGCTGAAAATGTTGTGTTTGAATGGCTCACGTCGACCGAAAACACGCAGCTTCACTGTTCTTTTGCCACTGTCGTCATTTCCCAACAGTGGGTTTGTTGTGAGCTGTCAAGCTAAGAGGTGCTCGTTTTCATGCCAGTACAACACAAGCAGAAAATAGCAGACTGGGCAAGTGCAGGAAGTAAAGCTGTGCCTGATTCTTTCTTTAGTTTTTAAACCCTCTGCCAGCAAATGTTAATACAGAAATATCCAATCCATCCTTAGGGCTGCCACTTTTAATAAAAAAATCTAACTTCTGTTTGAACTGATATACTTAAATATAACTGTCATGACTTGTGTAATTTCAATTTTTACAGTCTATCATGTAAGTGCAAGAGACCGTTTGAGGTCATTTGTGGTTCAGCGGAAAACCCTCTAAAATTCCTTATCAGATTGACCTTCCGCAGTCAATACTGACCTAAAAGTAAACTAAGCTAATAAATGAAAATTGGGGGGACACAGATTGATGGTGATAAGATTATCATCGAAGCATCTGAGAAGCAGAGTGTGATTGTATTTTCGGATCTATACCACAGACGTCAAAATTACCAACAAAGATAGTTGGGAGACAGACAGCAGCTGCCGATGCTTCACACAGTGACAATAAATGTTAGGATGGATGCAACCCATGGGAGGAGGAGGTGGAGGCAACAGGAAATGGAACAACACAATATTGAGTCAGCAGGGACGAGCACTGTTAGTTTACCAAGGGATGTATGACGTCAAGACACTCATCTGATGTTTTCTATGTAAATTAAGTTCATATGCATCATTGCTGCTCATGATGTGCAAAGCAATTAATCTTCTCCTGTGACAGACAGACAGAAAAAAAGAAAGATCAAAATGTGTCTTACATTGAGAATGGCTTTACACCTTCAGATCTCACTCTAGTCTGCATGTATGTCTTGTGCTGTCTTCCTGATACAATGGAGATGATAAGACTTTGTGTGTGGTGGACAAATCATGGTTATGATCGAGTTCAAGTTGACTTTTCATGTCATTCATCCATATTTGCTATCATACTTTTCATATTTTGTGACATTTTTATCCTAGAAGTCACATTCACACGTCAACTCTCAGTAGCAATCTTGGGTTCAGTGTGTTGCCCAAGGACACTTCGGCATTCAGACTGGAGGAGACAACACACAGGAAACCAGTGCAATAACTTATATGAACTACTCTATATAAAATTCATCCAAGCCATAGAATATATACAAATCATGCGTGCAATACACACTGCACTTTTAAACATCTTGGAAAAGTTATTTTTTCAAATAACCTTCAAAACTACAACTCCCAATAAATAACTCAGAGTTGTTCTGTGTGTAAAAATAGTAAAAAATCATACAAGAGAATTTACAATATTATAGTGTTGCAGCACTATGAGAGAGAAAACTATGATGATTTAGTCATTTTGTAGGATAATAACAACAATAATTGATTCAAGCTTTTAGTGAACATTGAAAGTGAAAAAGCATCATGTAGTAGCGAGAGTGTGCGGCTCCTCTCAGCCTACACTCCACAGTAAGTAGTAGTTAGTTAACCTTGGAAAGACATCAGCTCACCAGTAAACCACCGTGACACCGAGCAGGAACAGGACAATGAGCAGTTTTGCATGGTGAAGCCTGTTTTGTTGTCTGTCTGTTTATGTGACATGTCCAAAATGTACCAGAACTGTTTTGTTTCACTGCAGAAAATTTGTACCGTTGCAAAGTGTTTGGTGGTTCAACAGAGATGAACTTGGGTTGATCAAAGCACTTGTTTGCCAAGAACGTGCTCATTAACATATAGTCTGTAATACCTGGCAAAGGCATTAAAGGGAAATTACAAACGCTCGTATTTCTATGTTTGTTAATAGTATTTTACAGCCAGTGTTGTCAGCGTGCTGTTTTTCTTCAGAAGCGGTGTATAGTCAGTTATGATCTTTTATCACCGCGGGTGCCACGCTGCGTGACACACTTTCATCATAGTGTAGTTTAACTGTGAACAAAACAAACCTCCTCCACCTCGGGGGTCTCTCATGCCTAAACACAGACCTCAGGGGATCGTTCTGATCGTCTGCAGGGTTCCCAGGGCAGTGCTTCGCTTCTACTTGTGTATTACTGTAAATGTATCGCCTGTGAGCCTGGCCGTGCATAAAAGCAACAATACATGTAATAATATGTAATTTTTATGAATAAAAGTAATTTTTACCTCTTCTTTTGTACAAGTATTTACTGTCGTAAATGCTGATAAGTAGGCTACCATTTCTTCAGCGTTAAGCAGGGAGATTCCCCTGACACAGGCAGTAATGGAGTTAATGTTTCTCAGGATACAACAAGAGGGGTTTGATTAGAGTACAGTAAACAGCAGAACTGGGCACATGTGGCAAAAACCCACGAAAAACCAGTTCCAACCATTTGACATCTGCGTCCTTCAGAGGCTGCATTTAAAGACAGAAGTGACTAGACTGTTCCGAAGGCTCCTTCAAATGGGGCAGACAAATGCATTGTTTCATCCCTATGAAACAAAGGCTCCAGTAGCTGGATCTTTCCTGGCTCAACGTATCCCAGGATTCATTGTGCTTTGGTGACAAACCGTTTTTCAAAGAGGTAATGGCACCTTCAAGACTTCCAATGATTGAGTAACACATTTCAAATCAGCTGACTGGCTCACATTACATGTTAAAAAAAACAAGGGGCATTAAAACTTTCTCATCATGTCCAGCTTCAGATCTGTTGCTGGGCAACAGCCTCTCTAGACCAGACAATCTCTTTTTGGTTTGGTCTATGTGGTCTAAGCGGCCCATGAAGACCACCTATTTCCTCGACCGGGTAGACCAAGTCCTCCAAAGGATGGAGCCCCTGAATTGAGACACAGCTTCTGGTCCAGTAATGTCAAAGTAAGGTGGACAACTGAAAAACCAGCACAGAGAAAATCTTTTGTGCACCAACCCTTTCTGCCAAAATAAAAAAATAGACACAGATTAGCACATCAACACATGGTGGTTGGAGACTTGAAACAAGTCTCACAGCCTTGTGATGTTTCAGCCTGTCTGCATCAAGGTCCCTTGTATTTGATCCCACAGCCTCACTTTGCTTTTGGTTTATGTCTTGTGACTCTACAGGGAGCAGGACAAGATTTAGAGTGAGACATCTATGTGGGCAAACACAAAAAACCAATAGACATAGAAGAAGCAAGCCTCTCGGGGTAATAAGACGGCCGACTCATGTGAGCTTTATGCATCGTTAGTTTCAGCTCCACTTTGTAACCTGTACAGCCTCCTCCTCTCCCTCCCTCTTTCCTTTTAGAGAATTGCTATTTGGTAAAGCAAAGATCCCAGAACAAAATAATAACAGCCAGAAAAGGAGGGCAAAAAAAGGAGCTGTTCAAAGATGTGATGTTTGACCTAGAAAAAATGTCTACGAATCCTCTTTGAATTATTGTTTGGAGTTACGAGTGGCAGCAGCACGAGCTCTCGCTTCAAAACCAAATGTGCCAACACTCAGGTTTTCTGATTTTCAGGGTCAGACTTCTGCTTTATTTGCTCGGGCTCTTACAAATTCCCCCTTTGGTATTTGGTTCATTCCAATTAATGGCAGCGGAGGATGTTTGAGCAGCTCATTGATGTTTATCGGTTTTGATGAGAGAAAACTGCCACCATCATGAGCCCTGATTATAGCTTTATTCATCTAATGCCAACACACACACACAGTAGAAAATGACGGAGGTCTGCAGGATACATTGTACTATAGATCCTCCTGTGCTGTGTTGTGTTACAAAGCACTGGAGCACACATTCAAACAGTCACACAAAACTGTGACTGATAAAATGATCAAATGGCGGCAGAGCACTGATTACAGCAAGTGATTCACCGTCAACAGATGTGTGATTGTAAACAAGAGGAAATTTGTCAGAGCCCTGAATCAAACTTCCTTCCCTTACATGGCCGCATGCGTCTGTGTGTGTGCGGCACAGCGCCTCATCAAGGTGCTGTTATTATTCCAGGCAAACTTGAATTCCAGCTCTGGGGAGAGAACAAGTGGCTAAACAAAAGCTCAGGTTGTCATTCTGCCTCTTTGATCACGAGCGAGGGATTCAAAGTTTCCCCCAACATCTAAAACTTTCCAAGTCCAACGTTCACCCTCCATCTTCTGTCAATTTCATCTTCTTCACCACCACATCTGATACCACCGTGATTACAGCGCTGTCTTTATATTTATTAATCTGATGGCAACATGTGCTCGGAAATGTTTATTAAACTGGCTGAAAATAAATTGAACACAAATTTAATCAAAGCTTCATGCACTGTGTGTGACTCGGCTCCAAAATGCTCTGGTTAATCTTTGCTTAATATTTGAGAATAATTTCAAGGCTCATTTCAGCTCAGTCCATGACACATTGATGTGATGTGTCATGTGCTCGAGGATTATTCATGTCCTTCAGAGAACTGTCTATTCTGTTTGAAAACAGTAACACTTCATTCAACATTTACTACGAGATAAAAGCAAAGTTTTTCTTTTATATGATGGCATACAGACTAACGTTAACCTCAGATGCAAATACAGGGATATGATAATCGGCAACTGAGAGGAATGATGTATCATCGCTTGCTGAATGTGGGCAGTGCAGGTAGTAGGTGGGTAGCTCTGTAGTACATTATTGATACACATTCCATTTACTACTA